GACCTGTTCCGCATCATCCCGGGCATCGGTGCGGCTGTCTGGGCTGGGGGCGGGGCGGGCCGGGCCTGCCGAGCCCCCGCCACAAGGGCCTGCTTCTTTCTCCAGGGAACTTCGGCGACCGCTACTTTGGGACGGATGCTGTCCCCGACGGCAGCGACGAGGAGGAAGCGGCGTCCGTGGGCTAGCCCGCCGCCCAGTCCTTCCCACCCGTGTGCCCACCCGCCCTCCTGCCTCCTGGCCCACGCTTGCAGAGGACAGACTTGTTCTAGTTTAACGGTGTCTCTGGTATACCCTATTCTACGTATTTTATAAAATAAAGTTTTAGGAAAAACGAAGTTCTGACTGATAACCCGAGGGCTTGGGAGTGGCTCCAGGGCGGCCAGCTGTCGGGCCCCCGCACGGAGCCAGAGTCCAGGGACTCCTCCGCGGCTGCATCTAGGTCTGGCCGCCTCCCCCCGCCCACACAGCGTAGGCTGTCCTGTGAGGCTCGGTGCCCCGCTTAGGAGAGGGCAGAGCCGGCCTGGCGGGGAGCCCCACCCCCACATGTTCCTACTCCGAGGGGCAGGAGGAAGTGGGTGTGTGGGCGGCCGTCGGAGGGAGCCATCCGCGGTGTCTCCACTGGCAGAGCCCCAGGTACCGGCGAGGCGGCCAGGGCCTCGTGGGCCCACTGTGCCCTGCAAGGCCCGAAACCCACTCCGGCCTGCCTTCACCGCCCCTGGACCCTGGGGCGGGGACCAGCCTCTCTGGCCCCTCCAGGCCAGTCCGGCAGGCCTGCCTGGGCCGGGGGATGTGGCCATACAGGAAGATGTCTGGGCTGCTGCAGGTGGGTGTCGGGCACCCCGGTCACCCGTCCACTCCCTCCAGCTGTGCTCTGGCCTCTTCTTTCCTGTCCTCCTGGTCTTGGCTCCCCCACCCCCCACGAAGGCCTTGTCATGGAAAAGCTCGAGGTGGGGCGGGGACAGGAAGTCGCTGGGTGGGGGCCAGGCCAAAGGCGGGCAGATAAAAGCAGGAGGCTGGTCCCAGGGGTGGCCAGGCTCCAGGGACTAGGACCAGCGCCGGCTGTCAGTGGAGAGGCTGCTCCCAGCGCGGTGAGTGCCTGGCCACCCCACCCCCACCCCCCACCTCGGGCCCCCTCCCTCCCGCACTGGTGCCCCTGCTGCTGCAGGGGACCCGGACGGGCTCTCGGGAGGAGCGGCTGGGCCACGAGGTGGGGAAGATGCCGCGCTGTCCATCCAGCCCCGTCTTCCCAGGTGAGGGCTGGGGTGACCCGATCTAGAGTAGCCGGGCAGAGGCAGGTCATTCCTAGAAGGGCCCCCCCGAAGTCTAGCGAAGGTCTGACCAGCTCCCAGAAAGGAAACCCCACATGCCTGTGCCCACACCACACGTCAGCAGAGCATGTCCGGGACACGCGTGCATGTGTGGGCCCTCGGGAGGAGAGGGCCCGCGGCCCCCACCCTGGGGGAGGGGTGCAGCCTCTGCAGGAGCCGCCGAGGGAGGCCAGGCCACAGGCCAGGGCTCCGCTTGGGCCTGTTTCCTGCCGGGCCTGTGAGGTGGTGGAAGTGGGTCACCTGCTGAACAGCCACGGGGGGGGGGGGTGTCTCTGGGGACCGGTGGGAGGACAGCACTTCCTCTGGCCCCTGGGAGCCTCCCAGCCCCAGGATCCAAGGTCCAGGGCTGTCCTGGGAACGGCTGCTGGACACATCTGGAGGGTCCAGTGTGAGCGGAAGACTCGGGGGCGACCCCGGGGACGGGCGAACCCACCCAGGCAACCCTTCAATGGGCCGGCCAGGGGTTGGGGGCCAGGTGGCCCTGCAGCGGGGCGTTGGCCCTCTCACCTGGAGGAGGGAGGAGGGGACCGCACAGCCTGGGAGGGGGCCATCGGCTGGGAGCCGCCAAGCAGCCAGTCCCTGCCCTTGTCCAGAAGCCCCTAGCACACGTGGGGTGAGGCTCCCTGAGGAGACGCCCGCTGTGAGGGCGCTGCCACCGTGCCGGGCCGTGCCTCCAGGACTGCCCGACCTGAGAATGGTGTCTGCGGGGTCAATCTCAGGTTCGTCAGCCCACGAGGCGCTGCCCCTTCCCCATCGGCGGCTGTCACAGCGGGAAGAAGCCTGGGGCACCCCTTCAGGGCCAGCGGGGTCCGGTCCGACATTAGAGGCACAGAGGGTCGGGTCGACATGCTGACTTGGGCAGGACGCGTGGGCCCAGCAGGGCCTTGTGGAGCCTCAGCGGGTACCCCGGGAGTCTAGAAGCATCCCGCGTGGCACAGGGACTCCTGGGCCCCAGGCCTGATGCAGCCCAAGAGCCTCAGGGGAGTCCAGGGGGAGGACCCTGCACCGGTCCCCAGGCCAGGCCCGGGGCTGGGGGCGTCAGGCGCTCTGACGCCCAGCCGAGGGGAGGGAGGCTGGGGATAGCAGGAGGGGAGGGTGCACAGGACTGCGAGGGGCAGGGGCAGCAGGCGGATCTGGCTGTGCAGGGTTAGAAGGGCGAGAACGTGGCAGTTCGCGTGTGAGGACCCGTTCTGTGGCTATCACGAGACGGGGCCCAAGGGGGGACTGGGCTGGGAGCGGTGCCCACTTCGGGGCCAACACTCCAGGCAAGGACCCCTGGATGCCTCTGCTCACCTATCGGCTTCGAGCCGGGGGCCAGAACCACTCTGTGCCACGTGGCTAGGCTTGGGGCCGGCTCCAGCTCTGGTCACGCCAATCTCCGGGCACCTCGGTCCCAGCTGGCTTAGGTGTCTGCGGCCAGTGCAGCGGGAGGACGGCACATCTGCACGGACAGGGGCCTCGGTCCCACGGTCGGGGCACCAGGTGCTCCCAAGGCCCGGAGTTTGGGGGAGTCCGCAGCTGAACTGGGGGTGCCCAGCAGGGTCTGTTTCAGGGTGGGACCAGCAGGAGCAGCAGGTCCCTCTGAAGCAGGGGCTCCACTCCTCCGGGACTCGGGGCTGGGCAGGGAGGGGGCAGCCCCCAAACCAGGACCTGACGGGGCAGCGGGGTCTGCCTGCGGTGACCCGGGGCCCTGCGCTCCTGGCTGGGGGCCGACAGCGCGCTGCCGCACGTGCTGGTGGGGGCGCCCAGGTTTGGGGCAGCGCTGTTTCCTACGCACTCGCAAGCGCAATCAGATGACACCGGTGACCCTCCCCCACGCCCCGAGGAGCCGTTGCCCCCGTCCCCGTGTCCTGCTGTGGTTACTGAGCAAGAGCAAGTCCTTGCGTGGCCTTGGCACTCCGGGTCCCAGGGCCCTGCCTGTCCCCATGTGTGTGACCGACACTTTCCGGCTGTCCCCTCCAGCTCCTGGAATAAACTATTTCAAATGGTGACGCTGCCCAAGAGGAAGTCTGACACGGGCCTGGGGGCGGATTCAGGCGACTCCTAGGTCCGGGTCCCGGCCCAAAGCATCCCCAGGGGCCCCTCACCTCGGGGTCAGGTCCAGGGAGCCTCGGGTCCTGGCGCGGGCGCAAGGACAAGATCAGGCACTCAGATCAGTGGGTGGAGCCAGCGGACCAAGAACCCTCCGCCAGGTCCCGGGAATGCAGGGGGTGGGGCTCCCGGCAGGCCCCGCCCACGCGAACAAGGAAGGCAGTGACGCCTGCCCGCAGGCTCTAGAGGTGACCTGGTTTGCCTGCAGCGCTCCTGGCCGGAGGGTCGCGGGGAGGACTCCGGAGGTCCCCCTGCCCGCAGTAACGCCCGCCAGGAGCACAGGGTCTCGGGAGGGCGGAGGCATGGGTTCCTTGCGGTTCCCGGTGAGGGTCCCGCAGGGAAAACGGGAAATACTGAGACAACCACGGAGAATCACAGTAAGGAAACACGCCCGAGGACGCCAAGGGCGGGGGCGGGGGCAGGAGCAGCCAGTGGCCGTGGGCAGCTGAGGCCACTGGAGCCAGCAAGGCAGCCAGCGCCCACCCTGCGTTGGTGACCACCGACCACGGTGCCCACGGGCCGGATCCCGGGCGCTGGGGGTTCCCTGCCGGCAGCCTGTGCGGCGGTGAGAACACAGACTAGACCACACGTGTGACGAGAACACCGCCACCTGCATGCACCGCGTGCACACTGCCTCGGTGGCGCGGGGAGGGCGGGGCGTCCGAGCAGGCTTCTCGGTCCCCTTGTCTGTGACGGAAAACCTGCCCCGGACCTCCCATCTCTTCCGTCCGCACAGCGTGTCTCGAGGCGTCTGCTGCGTTCCCTGGCATTTTTGCAGCAGCTCCCGCTTTTTCAGAATGCTTTGGCCTGGCCCTGAGCCAAGACCGCAGGCGCAGAGGGAGACCCGGTGCCCCAGCCCACAACCCAGGGGCCTCCTGGGTCAGGGTGGCCTCCCCCACCCAGTGCAGAAGGGCGCACGTGGCCGGGGCCGAAGCTCCGGGTCACTGCCTGGGAGGCAGAGCCCGAGGTGGACGACGCTTGTCTCGGGCGAACTGCAGGCGTGAAGGTGGCTGAGGTCTGGGCCAGATCCGCGGTCTAGGGACACCCCCTGCCCCTGGGCCCGTGACCGCTGCAGGGCCTGGCGGGAGGACCTGAGTCTGCGCCCGGCGGATGACCCCTTGGGGCGGGCCTCTGAACGGCCAGGACAAAGGTGAACGGGATGGAGCTGCCCTGGCTAGCACACAGCACACAGCACAGGCCAGTGGTGAGCTCTGCCCACCAGCCTCCCCGTGGTCCGGATGCTGGAGGCCACGCACGCAGGTGGACAGTGACTCACGGCCTGCGGACAGGGGCGCTGCTGCGTCTGCGGCACACAGGGAGGACATGGGCCCGGACTCGTCCCGAGGGCTGCAGAGCCGTCCGGGGGCCTGGCCTCCCCGAGCGCGCAGCTCCCAGCCGCTTCCTTCCAGCCCGTGTCCAGAAAACAGAGGGCAGGGGCGTCCACCCACACCTGGACCCAGCAGGTGGCAGCGACTTCTGAGCTCCCGGGGGACCAAGGAGGGGCCCCCAGGTCGGCTGGCCTTTGGCACCCCCTCCCAAACAGGGTTCTGCAGGGCCCCGTAAGAAAGACACGCCCCGGTCTGCAGTGAAAACATTTATTTTACAACCGTTACATCTTCACTTCGGGCGGACACCCAGACACACAGGGCGGGGCTCACCGTGGGCAGCCCTGGCCCCTGGGCCAGCCCTCGGTGCGCAGGCCCCAGGACAGAACTGGCCCGGGCAGCGCCGCCCACGCACTCGGGGTCGAACACAGCGCAGCCTGCTCCAGTGCATGCTGCCCGCACGCGGCGAGCAGCACGAGTCCCTCCTCCGGGGACGGCCGGGCCCCGCGCTGCCCGCCGCCCCGTGGTCCCGACACCGACGGCTCAGAACGCTTGGTCACTGGTTCCCTCAAGTGCTCCGAGAGCTGGCCTCCGAGTCTCCACGAGGAGAGGGCTCCCACCACCTCCCAGACGTCTCACGGGGACACACGCACCTGTGGGCCGCACGAGCACCACGGGGGCCCTGGGGTGGGCGCCCTGCCCCGCGGAGGCTGACGGTGGTGGTGGCCGCCCGGGCAGTCCCGGTGCCCCGCTGGCCACCCACAAACCCTGGGTACAGGGCTATGTCAGTGGTCTCTTCCGGGCCCCCCGCAGAGGAGCTGGGGGGACCCTCCGCCCGCCCCGACACGCCAAGAAACAGAGGCCGTTTGGGAGCCGCCTTTTATTGTACCGGCCACTTTGCCACTCAACAGCAGCCGTCAGGAGGGCTGCATGACACATACATGTACACACGTGCACACGGACACACCCCCACGGCCCACGCCTGCAGCACAGGTGGCGCCCACCGCGCGGGTGAGGGCTATAAAAAGGGGGCTCTCGCCGACTCCACAGGAGGGGTCACATCCAGGACAACAGGACACATGGGCCAGCCTATGCCACGCGCTCGCTCACGGCTCAGAAGCGACAGCGGAGTGAGACCAGTCACTTGCTTCACCCCTGCTGCCAACGGGCCCTGGGGGGACACGCTGGAGCCAGGGAGGCGGAGGGTCTCCCCAGACTGCCGGTGGGCCCCCCCAAGGGCCGGGGCACGCCCCGCTGCCAGCCCAGGGCCCACGGGGCGGGCTGTGTGGACCCATTGGCCGGGAAGGCCCCGGCTCCGAGCAGCAACATCTAAAGCAGTTTGAAACGAGGACACAGACGCCTCCCGGGCACGGGCCACACGGCCGGACCCCTCAGGCGCCCACCACGCTGGTGATCTGTCCGGCCAGCCCCGCCTTTGGCAAAACAGACCCCGCCACGCCCGGGCCACACACACTGGCTGCCCGGCAGACACCGGCCCCGGCCCCAGGTGGCCGCCGCTCTGGGCGGCGCTGGGGTGAGACGCAGGGTCGCCCCCACTCAGTGCACGAACACGGGCCTCTCCAGCCTCAGCCGCTCCGCTCCCCCCAGGAGACAGACAGACCACGAGACACAGGAAAACACACGGGGGCCCGGCCACAGCGCCGCCCCAGGCGGCCTGCCCCCCACTCCTGCCGGGCGGGCCGGCCATTTCCAAGCCCACAGAGACCCGCCCGCCGCCGCGCCCCGGCCCCAGGGGAAGGTGAGCGCCGGGCGGGCCCCGGGCAGGGCCTCGCTGGGACACGTGGGCAGCCCGCCTGGGCGCAGCCTCCGCACAGGCAGCTCTCTGCCTGACCCGCAAGGTCGTGACGAGGTGCCTGGTCCCTCTGGGGAGGACAGCTCACTTCCTGAGGGACTTCCAGAGGCGTCCGCAGGGCGGACGCAGCCTGTCCTTGCCTCCTCCCTGGCTGGGTTGAAGGGGGTGAGGGGGGGGGTCCCACAATGGGTCTCTCCCTTGCAGGGAGACCTGGTGTCAGCACCAGCCCTGAGCTGAGGCCACAGAGCAGGGCTGCCCTCTCGCTGGGTCTTCGTGACCACCCGACAAGCAAGACCCCCTGAGCGGGCCGGGGCGGCCAGGCCCCCGCACGTGAGCTCCAGCCTCACGCGGCCGTGCCTCCCAACCGCGCCCCAGCCCGCCCAGCCTGCTGTCTGCGCGGCTGCGGGCGAGAACGGCGGCTGCAGGAGCCCGCTCTGGCCTGTCCAACCCAGGGAACCACCCCCGGCCTCCCGAGCCCACCTTCCACTCTCTTGGCAGTTCATGGCGCACAGCGGCAGCCGCTGGGTCCGCTCTGCAGGAACCAGGCCCACACGGGCCACGCTCCCGCCCCACGGCACGGGCACCACCCACACGGGCTGGGACACACATGAGGACCCACCTCCCAAGACAGGGGTGAGGGGCTGACGGACGGGGGCCTCGGGGCTCCCGGGCCAGAGCGGGCCTTTGGTCCAGCGGGCCCCTCCCCAGGACCCGGGCACCTCTGGCTCTGGCCGGGGAGCAGCGGGGGAAGGGCTGAGCAAGGCTCTGGGAGCAGAGAGCAGGCTGGGCAGCCAGGCGCCGCCAGAGCCTGGACTCTCGACCCGACTAGGACCAGCGGGGCCGCGGTGGGGCGCAGGGCCCGGGGGAGCGTGGACGGCAACGCAGAGAAGGGAGAGGGAAGGCCGCCCGGATGTGGCCGCCGACCCAGCTCCTGGGCTGAGGGGCGCACTGGTGGGGCGGGGGGCTTGGACCAGACACAGGCAGGGAAGGTGGTCTCAGGGCCGGGGGCCCCTGCAGTCCGCACGGCACACACGCACTCGGGAGAAGCCCCACCGCAAGGCCAAGCCCACAAGGTGGAGGGGACCTGCACACACTGTCCTGGCCCCCAGCACCACGGGGCGCGGCAGTGCACGGAGGACCCGTTCAGCCCCTCGCCGGCGGGCCGGCCCGGAGGCCCCGCCTGTGGCTGCCCCGCCGGACCAGACGCCACAGCCCCGCAGCAGCACCCGCCCCGGCCGTGCCCGGAGCACCGGGGACGCCGCGCGGCCACAACACAGACAGACACGGAGCAGAAGCCCACACATGCGACTGGAGGAGGGGGGACGGGGGACGGCGACCGTAGCTACACTGCTTTAAATACCGCATGCTACGAACTTCCCGGGGCGGGGGGTGGCGGGCGGGCGGGCACGGGGGCGGGAGGGGCCCCTTCCCTGCGGCCAGAGCGGCCCCCGCCCCACCTCCCTGACTACAGTTCATGATTCTGGGGTCGAAGGGGCCGGTGCTGATTGATCCGCCAGTCCCAGCTGCTCCGCCCTTAGTTGAACCCGTCAGTGTGGTAGCTGGGGTGGGAGTCGGCCGTGAGCTGGGTGGTCTCCGTGGCGGACGCTGGCTGTATGACAATCGGCGTGTCTGTGGCCTCTGAAAAGCAACCACACACACGCCCATCGCATGAGGACCGCGGCCGCGGGCGGGCGGGCGGCCTGCACACACACGCCCTGCGGCGGTGCCGCTCCTTCGCCGGACGCCCCGCCGGGGCCAGAGCGCAGGACCAGTGCTGTCGGGGGGGAGGCTGTCTGCCGACCTCTGACCCCCACGGCCTTCCTCGTCTGCCCGAGGCCCGCCCCCCGCCTGGCCCCCGGTGCTACGGCTACCGCTCGGGCGGGCGGGGACAGCCCTGCCTCTGCTTTTACCTCCGAGTCCACGTCCCCAACGGGCCCGGCCGCCACACACACATCCCGGCACCGTGTCAGTGCCCGCCTGTTTGACAAGACAGGTTGGCGCGGTTGAGGGCCCACTCCGGCGCCGCCCCCCGCTCGCGGGCCGGGCCCTGGGCACACTCACCCCGCTCGTCCGACTGCAGCTGCGCCTCCAGGTCCTCGGGGGACACGTAGAACTCGGTCTCCTCGCCCTCGGGCGCCTTGGGCTTGCACTTCCCGCAGCAGCAGTTGAAGCAGCAGCACAGGCAGCAGCAGCAGTAGCAGCAGGTGAGGATCCCGCAGACGGCAAACAGGGCCTGGGGGCGGGGGCGGCTGCCTGGGTGCTCCGGCCGGGGACCCCCCGCGGGACACCCCCGCCGCACGTCCCGTGTCCTGTCACCCGCCCCCGTCCCCCTGCGGCCCCCTTCCCTGCGATGGGGGCCCCGAGCCAATGGGGGTGGGCGTTAAGAATGCAGCAAGCGAGATCCCCCTCGAGTCTTCCCAGAGGCCACAGTGCGCACGGCCCGGGACCGGGATGGTGGTGCCCTCGCCCGAGAGCGCAGGGTGCCTCGGGGCGGGCGCCACGGCGCTGGGCAGGGACTCTGCTCGTGAGAGGGGGGGAGTGGAGGCGCCCGCCGCCCACCCGGCAGCCCCCGGCCCTCACCTTGGCCCACCAGCTGGACAGCACGAAGTAGGTGTTCACGTTCTCCTCCCCGAACTGCTCGGCCACGTAGAGCCCCAGCGAGCCGTACTTGTCGTAGATGCTGCGCTTGGTGGCGTCGGCCAGGATGGCGTGCGCGTTGTTGATCTCCTTGAACTTGTCCGCGGCCTCGGGGTTGTCGGGGTTCTTGTCGGGGTGGTACTTCAAGGCCAGCTTCCTGCGGACGGAGCCCACGTGCTGTCTCGTGTGTCATGCAGACCCCCAGTGCGGAGGCGCCAGGGGCAGGGCCGCCGCCCGCTCTGCGCTCTTCCCTCCCCGCCCCCCAGAAGCCGCAGGTCGGGGCGGGGAAGCCTCTGCCAGCGGAGCGAAGGCCCTGCCCTGCCGCGCCCTCTGGTGGCCGAGCGGCAGACTGCACGCGGGAGGCGCCCCAGCGCGAGGGGCGGGGCCTCGGCGCGGACTCCCGCTGCCGCTGCCCCGCGGGTCAGACCCGCACACACCGGGGCGAGGACTCCAAGCTCCGAGGGGACGCACCGCACACAGCCACGCCCACCCAGGCGGCCCGGCCTCCTACCGGTAGGACTTCTTGATGTCGTCCGAGGTGGCGTTCTTGTCCAGCCCGAGCACATGGTACAGCGACTCCCCAGAGGTCGAGAGCGAGCGCTGGCGCTGGTCGGCCATGGTCGGCGAGTCTGCGGGGAGAGGGCAGAGGGGGCTCAGCACGGACGGACGGACGGACGGGGGGCGGGCTGCGGGACGCCAGCGACTGCCTGCGACCCCGAGCAGCGGCTCGGGGCGAGAGGGGCAGCCGGGGAGGGCACGCGTGAGGACAGAGGTGCAGGGACAGAGAGACAGACAGCCCCACAGCCGCCCAGTCCGAGCACTGCACCCCTTCCTCGGAAACCGACAGAGCGACGGAAGAGGTGAGCACAGAAACGCCCGGGCGCCGACGGCCTGAGGACCACCACCGCCACGCACCGCGGCCTGACACCTCACGCACAGAAAGCGCACACCTGAAAACCCCCGAGACACACCGCCAGCGGAGCCCGGAGCAAGCTGCAACAAATCCAAGAGGCTTGAACTCACACACGGGAGGCAACACAGGCCGTCGGCGTCCTGGCGACCAGGTCAACTGTCAGGTGTCACTGAGCTCACGCTCACGTCGCCCCTATCCTACTGGACAGCGACCCCGAAGCCACTCCCACCACCTTCGCCGCCGGGGCGGCCACAGCGCGCTGCTCCCCCCAGGCTCCGCGGTCAGTCCCGGCCGGGCCTGCTGGCAGCGGGGACTCTGCCGCTGACGCAGCCGGTGGAAGACACAGCACCCCTCGGGGCAGGTGCAGCGCCCGCTGGGGGTCTGGGACCGTGCCCCCGGCCAGTACGGGGGACAGCTGCATACACGAATGTCTGAATTTCATCCGCAGCGGATTCACATAACAAAAGACACCCAAGACTTCTACACTGAAAACCACACAGTCAAGAGAAACGAAGGATCTAAAAGGGTAAGAGCCCTGGCTGGTGTGGCTCAGTGGACTGAGCGCCAGCCTGCGAACCACAGGGTCACCAGTTCGATTCCCTGTCAGGGCACACGCCTGGGTTGCAGGCCAGGTTCCAGTAGGGACTCTCGAGAGGCAACCACACATCGATGTTTCTGAAGGGAGGGAGGGAGAGAGAGAGAGAAACACGAATGTGTGGTTGCCTCTCACACGCCCCACATCAGGGACCTGGCCCGCAACCCAGGCACGTGCCCTGACTGGGAATCGAACCGGCGACCCTTTGGTTCACAGGCCTGCGCTCAACCCACTGAGCTACACCAGCCAGAGCACAAAACCTTTTTTAAAAAAGAATGAGAGATTTACCAGATTCGTGGATTTGAGGGCTCATACTGTCCAGACATCACTTCTCTCCAAGTGAACCCACAGACTCAATGTAATCTTAACTCTCTTTGCCGTAGGAATCCACAAACCGATGTGTGCGGGACGGCAGCGGCCGAGACCAGACGCAGCCACGCCAACGGGGGGACCGCGCGGGAGGGCTCTGGGCGCCCAGTGCAGGACGCACCCACACCAGTGTCCGGGACGCCCTGGGATGCCACACGCAAGGGCAGCCGCGGAGAGCGGGGAGTGCTCACGTCCCGTCGACCTGGGAGGTAACTCGCATCCGCAGTGCACGGGACACCTCACACGGCTCAGCTGTGCGATACGACAAAACCTCAACTCACAAGAGCACGCAGAGGGTCTCGGAACACGTGGGAGCACAGGCCGACGGCCATGGTGCTCGGAGAGAGGCTGGCTCCCCTGGTCGTCAGGGGCCAGTCCTGCGACACGTCCGCCGGGCGGCTCCCGTCCGGGAGCCGGGCGCTGGCGAGGGCGTGACGCCCATGAGCTCTCCCCGCTGCCGCCGGGGGAGGCGCTGCCCCCCTCGAAGCGGCCTGGAGGTGCCGGGGTGCAGCCTGCCTGCGTCACAGGGCCCCGCACTCCCACTGAGAGGCACGGCACTCACCGACAGGCGTGCACGCCCACGCTGGCAGACCTGCGCACCGAGGCCCACGACGGCCAGCCTCTGGGCACAGCACGACGCCCGTCACCGAGCGAGTGGATGGACTCGAGAGCTCTGTCCCCGCACTGGGGCTTGCTCAGCGGGGGGCTTGCTCAGCGGGGGGGCTCGAGCTACTGGCACCCACAAGCCCACGGCCGACTCGAGGGGCGCACAGGGAGCGCCGGCCTGGCCTGGGCGGAGGGAGGGAGGACGGGGCCCACCCACCCATGACCCTGCCCCAGGGGAGGGTCGAGGAGGAGACGGAACGCGTTCGCACCGAATCCCTGCGGGACTCTCACGGCAGCTCGGCCCCTGGGGCCCGCCCACCTGCGGCGCCCGGAGGGGCTGCTGACGGCCACAGGGCGGGGCCTCCCGGGAGCCGCGCCGAGCGACGGGACGGGCCCCCGTGGTCCCTGCGGTGCTGCATGCACTCAGGATCTGGACCCTGGAGGTTCCGCCGCAAACCCCACAGGTGAGAACCCAGAGCAGCAACACACAGGCGCACACAGGTCCACGAAGGACCGGGAGGCCGGAGGCAGCTGGCGGGCAGCGGCAACCGCAGCATCCCAACTGCAGTACGTCCAGTGTCGCTAGATGTCACCGCCGGCAGAAGCCAGGCACAGTGCCTGTGTTACTTCCCACGACGACACGAGTCGATAATTATCTCAAATAAAGTTACAATCGACAGCCCTGGCTGGTGCGTCTCCGTGGACTGAGCACCGGCCTGTGAACCAAGGGCGGCCAGTTGGATTCCCAGTCGGGGCACAGGCCCGGGCCGAGGGCCAGCTCCCCAGTACGGGGCGCGAGAGAGGCAACCACACATCCATGTTTCTCTCCCACTCTGTCCCCGACTTCCACTCTCTCTAAAAATAAATGAATGAAATCTTTACAGAAACAAAATTTATTACTACTAACAGCAAGTCTCTGGGCCACTTCAAGGCTGCTGGGCCGCCCGGCCACTGCGGCCCGTCGAAGCACGGATGATACAGTGCGTGGCTGTCCGACCTGGGAGGAGCCACGCTGCCCCCCGCCCCCGGGGACGCAGCAAAGAGCCCCCCTGGTTTGGCCTCTGCAGGAGCAGCTTTCTGGGCGAAGCCTCAGGGGCGCCCGAGAGAAGCACAAGAAAGCGCACGCACGGGCTCCCGTGCGGACGCGGCGGCCCCAGGGTGACAGGCCCCGTGTGCGACCGGGTGTCACACGCGCGCACAGACACGCACCGCCGGGGGGCTGGCAGCCAGGGGCGGGGCCTCGAGCTGGGCCTGGTCGCCGAGGGAGGGAGGGCAGAGGGCAGACCTGAGCCGCTCAGACAGCAGGAACCCGCGGGAGGCGCGGGGCGGGCGACCGGCCAGAGAGCAGCCGCTGCCGGGCCAACGCACCTCCCGTCTCCTGCTCAGCTGAGCGGCCGGCCCTGCAGCCAGACTTCGGCCCACAGGTGCGAGGGCCCTTCCTCCCTCCCCGCACAGGGGACACCGGCAAAGGGGAGGCCACAGAGGAGGGGAGGAAGTTTCGGGAGGTTTTTTAGCCTTTAAAATCGACCCTTGAAAACTTAATACTTTATTTTCCCAATGGTCTATAGTGAACAGATATGCCTTTGTGATTAGAAGAAATAAACACTTTTCCAACCCAAGAGAAAAAGGTCATCTTAAAACATTACCCTGCAGTCCCGGCTGGTGTCGCTCAGCGGACTGAGTGCCGGCCTGTGAACCAAAGGGCCGTCGGTTCAATTCCCAGTCAGGGCGCATGCCCGGGTTGCGGGCCAGGCCCCCAGGAGGGGGCGCAGGAGAGGCAACCACACACTGATGTTTCTCTCCCTCTCTCTCTCCCTCCCTTCCCCTCTCTCTCCAGAAATAAATAAAGTCTTAAAAAGAGCAGCACCATCCGTGTCGAACCTGTCGACCGCCCTCCTGCTCCCCAGCACCCGGCTCCACAGGCACAGGCCGAGCTGAGGGCCACGCCAGTCCCTGGGGGAAACAGTCCTCTGCCTGCAGCCCCGGGGTCCGGTGACACCCCCACTTTGCCGAGCTGGTGACTGGCCCCAGCTGCACCTGCCCTGCCCAGCGTCCCTGTGCTCCATCTCCCGGGGCTGTCTGCAGAGGCGCCCCGCCCCCCCCCCCCCCGTCCTCTCTGACCTCACCCGGCCAGCCCTCAGGCCAGCTCCGCTTCAGGGGCGTTGCGTCTGTGTCCCGGGGTGGCTGCTGCCAGCCGGACCCACGCAGACATCCGGGGAGCAGCAGGCTCTCTGGAACACACCCCGGCCCTCCGTGGGCCCTCCCGCATGGCTGCCAGGGGCCCTGGGGCTTGGCCCTGCCCCCGGCAGCCCCCACGCAGGTGCCGCCCAGGCAGCAGCAGGCTGCCCGCCAGACCAGACCCTGCCACATGGAGGCCCCCTGACCTCCCCGCCCCCCACCCAGACCCCTGGGCAGCCCCCCACCGCCACCCCCAACCCCCGCAGAGCCTGCCGCCTGCCGCGGCGCACCCTCGAGCGTCTGCCTGGGCCACCTGATTGTTCGACAAGCTCCCGTGCAGCAGCAGCGTCTGCCGCGCTGTCCTCACGGCAGGGACCTCACAGCGGGGACGAGGCGGCGCACGGAGCGAGCAGACCACCTCCCTGTCCCGCAGGCCACGCCTGTGCCCCCCGGGACGGGGGGGGGGAGTGGGGGGGCGCCCCCGGCTCCTGTGTCCGCAGCGAAGGCACGACGGGGGGGGGCTGCGCGAACCCGGCCTGCCGCCGGGAGACCGCCGCGCGCCGCCCCGGGAAGCGCAGGGTTGCGGGCTCCTCAGCAGGAGGCCCACTCCTGTCCTCAGGGTCTGCCACGCGGACCTCCCACCCGGGAAGGAGCACCCACAGCGTCTCGGTCGTGATGCCCAGCGGCAACGTAAACCCCGGACCCCACCCTCCGAGTGACAGCCAGGAACGACCCCTGACCCCTCACGTCCTCTGCGTCCGGATCGCCGACGAGCGCCCCTGCCGCACGCGACGGCCGCTGCGCTTCCCGCCGGACGCGGCTCGGCGTTGCTCTCCGAGGTCGAGAAGACAGCCGTACACCACGCAGCTCAGCTGCTGCCGGCGCCTGGGCCCCCCCGCCCCCCCGAGCTGCCAGAGACCACCAGCCACGCTTCCCTCTCCGGCTGAAGGGGGCTCGGCCGCCTGCTC